GACATTCCTTCGTCATCTGCGCAACTAAGAGCCAGAGTAAACTCTGGTAAGCCGATTCATGTAGCCGAGCGCAGAGGCCTAGCCTTCAGTCTCTGCCTGAGGCGCTGTGGCTGAGTGCGTTACACGTCGCCTATTGGTCAGCTCTCTCAGGCAGCTTTAGCCGTGCAGGGTGTCCTGGGGGCTTAGCACACGCGAAGCATCCGCGTCTCTGAAGGCTGAGTTCACATAAAACATAGCCTTGATCTGCGCCTTGGCTATCACGAAGCGTAAGTTTGCTTTTCACTACTGCTGGATTGCGCTATCCATATCACGTCTCTCTAGGTCCGCTCGTTTCCTTCATCGTCGCAACGTTGTGTCAGAACCGCTACCGTCAAAGTCAATTTTGTGTGAGGAATTGCCAAACTCGCAAGCCGCGCAGGTTCCAGTTCCAGTGGCTACTGTCACCGTCAGTAAGTCGCGCATCAAAATGTGTTTGAGTAATCGACAAAGCAGCTAGAGTTCCTAACACGAAGATTAGATCTGAACCTCGTTTTCGACAACTGGTATCCTCGACCCGTCTTCGGAAAGAATAGCAACTACCGACGCCATCCCTATGGATCTCTTCAAGCATGAGCCACTTGATACGACCAGGCAGCAAATCCGGCTCATATCTATCACGCCTGAACCCTCTGGTCAAATCAGTTGTCAGCTTGTTCACGCCTATCTCGAAGACGAGAAGTCACCCGACTATCGAGCTGTTTCCTACGAGTGGGGGCTACCCACGCCGCTTAGAAGCGTCAAGGTCAACGGCCGATCACTGGAAGTGCGCCAAAACCTGTACGCATTTCTTGAAGCTTTCAGAGCGCGACTCTTGAGATACCAGGGTAATAGTACCTACGAAGCCGAGACACAATGGTTATGGATCGATCAGATTTGTATCGACCAGACAGTCATTAGCGAACGCAACCATCAGGTGAAGATGATGTCTAAGATATACAGTCGAGCGATCTATGTTTATGTGTGGCTTGGGCCATCTCAAGCCCAGGTTGAGGAAGCAATGACCGTGCTAAAGTCTGGTCTGCGGCGTTACTTCGAAGACAGGACGATCGAGACTTCATCGAAAAAGCGTAAGCGCCATCGAACTCACGAGCCCGATGGAGAGTGCAGCACCGGAAACAAGCCATGCCCCCGGTCTTCCCTCTTACCTATCGTCGCACTTAGATGCTTTTTTGAAAACACCTACTGGCGAAGACTTTGGATTGTTCAAGAAATCATGCTGGCTCGCTACATTCGAATTCTTTGCGGGGATACGCTGCTTTCATGGGATGAGTTGAGGAGATTTTGCGTGTCAGGCGTATCGCAGCTCCCGGCTCACGCTCAAGCGTGTATATCGCCACAAATGATCTGGCTCGCAGAACACGCACTCTCGGCAAAAGTATACACGTACACCAATCTGCTTGCTACTTTCAGCAAAAGCCGATGCCACGACCAAAAGGACAAGGTCTATGGCCTGCAAGGCCTAATTGCTCCCAGCATGAGAGTCACAGTTGATTACAGTCAAAGCGTTCTGAACGTGTTCCGAGATGGAGTGTGTCTGATGTGGGAGGATGACATGACTGCAATCAAACCAAGGATTGGGCATAGTCTGAAACGACTAGAATACGGTAAACCGACAAGGACATTTCTCAAAGCTTGCTCAATCTTGAGAGCTGACATACAGTCCATCGTCCGGATGCCATTGGCCACTGCAATTGTGGAGCTCGGGAGTCAAATGGGACTTCGTCTGCGACGATCTTACAGGGCTTATATAGGTCCAAAGAATTTGGAGCAAATAAGAGACATATGGCTGGAGATAGTCGAGTTTTATACGAAGCAACGGTTACCAGCCCTTTATAGTAGAGGAGGATTCGAGAACAACGGCAGGGTCTCTCTGGAAGAAGCTTCAGACCGTGACGCCACCGATTTGACTGCAAAGTTGTTTGTAACGTATGAGAAGCTTGAGTACTATAATGATTATCTTATAGAAGAGTTCAAACGGGACGAGGTACGTCGATCGTAGCGCAATGTTTATAAAGTCTAATTGGATCCTAGTTGGGCGGCAAGTTTTGTGTGGACTGCGAAGTCTGGGAAAGTGTAAGTAACCCTCAATGTAAGACCTGAAGAGTCCCGATGAAACGCAGGCTAACTTTGGCATTCTAGAGGGGAGACCTTGACCGCATACAAAAGCAGACTAGACAACGTAAGCTTGAGTCCTGGGACTGGGTTATTCGCTCACGCAGATATCGAGCAGATCTCATAGCTGCTTTGGAGAAGGTCGCTTTTAACATAGTCGCAACCACTTACGACGCGACCCTGGTGTCAGAGCGAGGCAGTAAGCCACAGGATCCGCCAGTTCTCTGGTCATAGCAATGGAAAGTTGGCTGTTGTGTGTTTCTGCAATTTTTGAGGATTAAATATTGCTTGAACAACGTCTCCAGGTAAAGGACACGCCTGCAGTATGTTGAGTGCGTACGACGCGGAAGCTAGGGCCAGGTGCAGTGCATATCAGCGAACGGTCTCGCAAAGGGATATGAGTCGCATGCATCATTGCGATCTTTTTGGCAACAGGTACGGCGGTGTGAAACTTGCGAATTCTATTCCAATGACCCAATTAGACCTGTCGTTCTATCCCTACTATCTGCGACCAGGAAGCTCGTAGAGCAGTGGCGCGCCCTGCAACTCGGAAGGCGACGAAAAGACCTCATGTGCTGCATGATAACCAGACCGCTTTTTAGTAGGGGCGTTTTCGGGTAGGAAACGGCGGGGACTGGCGCAGGAGTTGAAGCGACCTTGTCTTTCCGACGTTTTCGTAGGCAGAATACCACTCCCACAATGATGAGTGTACTCGCGACCACGAGCCCGACCGTCAGTCTGATTATAGTGTTCTTGCCGATGCCCTTGTCCTACTCGGTTCCCACCAATCACCATTCTGCCCAAACGCCACTGTCTCTGCTGTGCCACTTACTGCTCACTCTCAATTTCGCTACTTCCTTTTCGTCTGGAAAGCCATTCAGATCGAATGGTATCGGGGGAAGAAGGTCAGTGGTTACTTGTCTGTTGAAATAACGCTAGGGTAGTTGTCCTTCTTTGAGAAGGGCACCGGAGATGCGTGTGGGTTGGCTTTCGAGTGTGACGCAGCGGTTGATTACATCGGAATGGAGGACCAGAAGCTGACAAGGATTATCAGCGCTAAGCGCCGGGCGGGAAGCTCATACTGACACGCAGAGCTGCGGATTGAAGGGGCAAACCCCCAATAAAGTCGACTGAGCTTGTTCCTTCCAACGAGCCCCAATGTACTTGCGCTGAGTGAATGACAATGGCTGCAGGTAGGTCCTGGGACAACTTCCGACGCAGATATCGAACTGCTATTGCCGCTTTACTCATCTGTGGCTTCTTCATACACTCATACCGAAGATCGACACCCAGCGCCAGTATATTCAGCCAGCATCAGACTCCACTGTACTGTCCCCAGAACCCGATCGCGAAAGAAGTATTGGTCGTCCTTCGCACAGGTGCCACCGAGGTACTCGAGAAGCTGCCGGTCCATCTCACTACCGTGTTGCGATGCATTCCAAACTACGCCATCTATTCCGACTTTGAAGAAGAATTTGGAGGACATCATATTCATGACGTTTTCGACGAGCTCGACCAGGATCTAAAAGACTCGGTGCCAGACTTTAAGCTTTACCACCAGCTGAAAACCAAAGGCCGAGACGGTCTCTCCATGGACGGTATCGAACACGATGGAAGTGGCGCATCGGGGTCGCTAAGCAACCCTGGCTGGAAACTCGACAAGTTCAAGTTCCTGCCTATGATAGATAAAGCTCTCCGCCAAATGCCGCAAGCAAAGTGGTTCGTCTTCGTTGAACTTGACACGTACCTGATGTGGACCAACCTGCTCGACTATCTGTTCCAGTTCGATGCAGAGGCCTCGCATTACATCGGCAAGCAAATGTATATTGGCGACGTGCTCTTTGCTCACGGCGGCTCGGGGTTTGTTCTGTCGGCACCAGCAATGAGGAAGGTGATCCGTCATTGGAAATCTCATATGAAAGACTTGAACCAGTACACAATTGAGCAATGGGCCGGAGACATGGTCCTCGGGAAAGCGTTGAAGGATGCTCAAGTATCCCTGCTGTGGGCATTTCCTCACTTCCAGGGTGATCCCGTTTCAACGCTCGACCACAACATTACCAAGATCAACAGACAGCCGTGGTGCTATGCCGCGATTACATACCATCATATGCCAGAGAATGAGATCCGGTTTCTTTGGGAATTCGAACAAGAGTGGTATCGTAGGCGTCCAAGGAGCGCTCCTCTGAAGCATGCCGATGTGTTCAAGGGATATATATACCCTAGTCTGAGCAGGGAAAGATTCGAATGGGACAATTATTCCGTCGATAGGGCCTTCAGCAATGATGTTTTGAAGGGCGAGGAGGTGCACAGCTCTTTCGAAGCTTGCAAATCGGCATGCGAAAGGAACACGCGCTGTCTGCAGTTCTCCTACCGCACTTCTAGGTGCCTTGTGTCGAGTGAAGTGCGCTTAGGCCGATCGTCGACACTACAATGCTCAGAGTATTCCACTGCCGCTTCGAGGTGTGAAAAGATGGAGGAGCCGGCGGCGATAACAGGAGGTGCGGTTCGTTCTGGTTGGATCGTGGACAGGTTGGAAGAGTACATGCGTACTATGGATCAGGCGTGCGATCGGATAGGCTGGATCACTTAGAAGTCACACAAATCGAACGAATCTTGTAGTTGCGTTGATTGCGGTGGTGGAGCGTTGGTGTCTGATGGCTGGCGATCGTCATGCCGCTGGACCCTTGCTTAGGCAGAGGTTAGCTCCACACGACGTAACCTGCCGCTCCAACAATCACTTCCAGACCACACACGGCTGCCTAGATATCACAAGTAGCTGTCGATACCTACACCCAGTTCCAGCAAGCCATCTCCGTCGCTTCCCCATACATATCCCCTCACGCGCCATGGCTGAGCCAAATCCTGCCCCGCACAGCGAGCGCGACCCCGCGGCGGCAACCGACGCGAACGAAACACGCGACGAAGAGAACGACGACCACAAGCCACGCGACAGCAACGGCTGGGACGGCAAGTTGCGGATAGACAAGATGAGCATTGCCGACGAACCACGCGACCCCCATGCGCAGGTCGTGAGCGACCCAGAAGTATCAGACGACGAGGGCCCGCCTCCCGAGCAGCTGGCTGCAGACGAGGATTTGCTCGACGACACACCGGAAGATGAGGACGACATAGAGATTGTGCACTCCAAAGTCTCGGACATGTCAGCGTTACGGTTGGAGAGGTTCAAGCAGATGAAGGTATGCTGTGCTATGGGTTGTAGATGAGTTTGCCTAACATCCCAGCGTCTCTGCCTGCGCCAAAACCGCATAGAAAGCATCGCGATACCCGACGAAGTCGCGCCGACCCTCACAGAAGTCGATCTCTACGACAATCTCATAGCCCACATCAAAGGTCTCGATGCCTTCACCGAACTCACCTCACTTGACCTCTCCTTCAACAAGATCAAGCACATCAAACGGCTGAACCACATGACAAAGCTCAAGGATCTGTACTTTGTACAGAACAAGATCAGCAAGATAGAAAACCTCGACGGGCTTTCCAACCTGCGGCAGATCGAGCTCGGCGCGAACAGGGTACGCGAGATTGAAGGACTGGAAACGCTGACGGGCTTGGAAGAGCTATGGTTGGGCAAGAACAAGATCACCGAGATCAAAGGCCTCGACACCCTCACCAATCTCAAGATTCTCAGCATTCAGTCGAATCGCCTGCGCTCGATAACGGGTCTGGAAAAGCTCGTCAACCTCGAAGAACTGCACATCTCGCACAACCTCCTCACAGAACTGTCAGGTCTAGAGAACAACGTCAACCTAAACGTTATCGACATCAGCGCGAACCCGATCGAACATCTATCGGGACTGAATGGTCTCAAGCACCTCACCGAGTTCTGGGCAAGCAACTGCAAGCTGAGCGACTTTGGAGAGGTCGAGAAGGAGTTGAGAGACAAGGAAGAGCTGGAGACGGTCTACTTCGAGGGCAACCCTCTTCAACGGGCACAACCGGCGCTATACAGGAACAAGATTCGGTTAGCGTTACCCCAGGTTGTACAGATCGATGCCAGTAAGTTCAAACCCCTCAACATCTCAGAACAGACGTTAACCTTGTACCAGCATTCGTGAAGCAAGTATAGGCGACCAAGCGGGAATGAAGATCAAACTGCAAAGGTGAACAAGGCATTTACACGGCGCACAAGGAAGAAGCTGCAGGCGTTCAGGCAAGCATACATCTAGCGTGGCGATATGGTGGTGATACCCTATGAATGCATGGTATTGTTGGCTATAACCGACGCTTGTACTTATGATGTGAACTAATAAATCTAGTCCATGTCTTGCCGGTCTCGGATCTCAACCCGTGACCGCAGCCAGATAAACATGCGGTCTGCAGCATTCCCATCAACCGTATTCTACCCGCGCCGCACCGTGCCGCCCCCGGTTTCGACGCTAATACTTTATCCGCTGTATAGGAATCCTTCGGTCCTGCATAGAGTGGGTCTTTTTTTCGCGGAGACAATACCCCATCTAGCTCCAGTCCAGCGGCTTTCACATCGCCTAGCTTGCTTCGCTCAAGGGTTCATGCCGTGCTTTCGGGATGTTTCGAGAGGCGTGTTGGCTGTGGATGCAACCGAACCGTGGCGAGCGTTATCCAAGACTTGGCTTGCGCTGCACGAACAAGGTTATTTGGATGCGAAAAATGGGTACCTCTGTCTGGAGATGCAAGTGAAGTTCGAGCGGGTGACAGCTCGGTGATTAAGTGGGTGGCAAGCTCCACTCGTACAGTGGCTACTCTATTCATGGAGGTGTACTTGCAATCGATGTTCCTACACACTCTCGATTCGATATACGGATTTTTATCGCGGCTCGATTCCTGGAATCATGGTTTTCTTGGGCGTTGGCGTGCTCTTTGTGGCCTCCGCCGCCGCCAGATTCGCGCCTCGCTCTGCGGAACCCCCCATGCGTCTTGCCGATCGCCAGTCAGGAAACGTGGCGAACATCAAGCAAACAGCTGATGGGGCAATTCCCCGTTTCGAATGGGAACAGTCATTCTTGACGGATGCGACCCTTGAGGAAGCATTGACCTCGGTATCAGCCGACGCAAGGTCGCTTTTCCAGTTTGCTGCGCACAATATTGCCAGCGACTCCGTCCCTGAGACAGAGAGTACTTTCAACGGCCGCGAATGCAAGGTCTTCCCTGGCGATGAAGATTGGCCGGCGGACGCGAGCTGGTCGTCGCTCAACGATATCACCAACGGTGCTCTACTGAAGCCTCTCCCCCAAGCACATGTTTGCTACAACACTAGCCTGGCTGGCGCAGACCAGAGCGCCTGCGATGCCATGACCAAGTCGTGGACCGATCCGTTTTCCCAGTATGTAGCCTTTGAAATTCATCTCCACATACCCAAGTAGTCATCGACTAACTTACATGAACAGGCTCGACGACCCACTTGAGATGCTAAGTCCGATGTACCAGGGCAGTACATGCCAACCACCTCAGCTCTACGATAGTAAGGAGTGCACCCAAGGAGGCTACTCTGTCTACGTCGTAAATGCCTCGACTACCGCTCAGATCCAGCTGGCGCTTAACTTCGCGCGAAACACAGGCGTTCGCTTTGTGGTCCGGAATACTGGTCACGATTTTGCTGTAAGTGCTTCGTCTTCGATACCTAATCTTCCAGTCGCTGATGGGTCTTAGGGCAAGAGCGGTGGTGCTGGCTCTCTTAGTGTATGGACCCACGGATTGAAAGACATTGCATTCCTCGATAACTACGAGTCTGAAGATTACACTGGACCGGCTATGAAGGCTGGCGCAGGTGCGCAAGGCTTTGAGCTTTACGCTGCTGCGAGAGATTTCGGCGGCACAGTCCTTGGCGGTGAATGTAAGTACCTACTATCTAGACATGTTTTGGGATAGATGCTGACTTTTCTTGTGATACAGGCCCTACTGTTGGCGCAATGGGTGGGTGGATCCAAGGTGGTGGCCACTCACCTTTGTCCGGCCACCTAGGCTTAGGCGCTGACCATGTGCTTTCCATGGAGGTCGTCTTATCAGACGGTCGTTACGTGACTGCTGACAAGAACAATAACCCCGAGCTGTTCTGGTCATTACGCGGTGGTGGCGGTCTGACTTTCGGTGTCGTAACCTCCGTCACCGTCAAGGTACATCCAGACCAACCCATTGCCTCCGCCAACTGGGTCGTCACTACAGGCAAGAACGTCAGCACCGAAGCCTTCAAGCAAGGACTCAAAGCCTACATGAAATATTTCCCACAGAACGCCGATAACAACACTTACGCCTACTGGAAAGTTTTCCCGGGCCCCGATTCCATCATGATGGATATGTCGCCTTTCTTCGCTCCCGGCAAGACCGTCGAAGAAGCCAAAGCTCTGGTCGACCCTTGGGTAAAAGACATGGCCGCACTCGGGATCACTGTCGAGCCCGAATGGACGCAGTACAACGGCTTCTACGACGCGTACAACGGCTCTTTCCCCGTGGAGGCCGTTAATAGTAATGGTGTAGCCACTACCTCGCGCATGATCCCACGTTCCAACTGGGCCAACGAATCAATCTTCAACGAGACTTTCGAAGCCCTCTGGCAAGCCGTCGACGAAGGTATGGCGCTGATCGGCTACAACATGGCGCCATCATGGGAGAAAGGCGGACGCCCTGACAACTCTGTCAATCCAGCTTGGAGAGACATGCTCGGTTTCATCATCACTGGGACTGTGCTGAATATGACGAATCCAGCTGCGGAGATTGTCGAGGAGCGCCTCAACATGACTTATGGCGTTATGCAGAAGTGGCGCGATCTCACACCCGGCTCCGGTTCGTACCTCTCCGAGGGAGATCGCCTTGAGCCCAACTTTCAGTGGTCGTTCTGGGGTAGCTTCTACCCGCGTCTCTTGGAGGCGAAGCGCAAATATGATCCGTTCAATCTCTTCTGGGCTACTGGGGCAGTGGGCAGTGAGTTCTTCAATGTGCGTAGCGTTGACGGTTTGCCGAATGAGAATGGGAGGCTTTGTGTTAATCCGAAACCAACGCTCTACCAGGCTGAGGGTCCTGACTGGGTTCCACAGTAAATGGATGGTGTCATGGCGACCAAACGTGTATAGATCCGAGATCAAGGGGTTCTCAGTTTATGCTGATAGGAACTACCATGAAGGCGGATGAGCCAAAGTGCGTACAAAGGAGTTGGACACATTGAAGGCTTTGCTTTTTTTCTTGGCAACGAAGTAGATTACTAGCGTCGATGAGGTGCAAGGTATCGTCTTGATAATGATGGTCTACATTGAGAGCATCGTCTCTTGTACTGTCTAGGTATCATATGCACATGCCACGTCAACCTCGTCCAGGGCCAGTGAATGCTTCTCCCATAACTACATAACCTTCCTGTTGTTTCCATCCGATCCCAACTCCAAAATCAGACCATTCAAGTTCAAGCGTTGAATATTTCCGTTGTGTATGTCGCGGCGTCTTGCTTGGCATCATCATTCATGAACAGCCGAGGGGCTGCACTCAGAAGCTTGGGTTGCCGTTGATCTTGAGACCGCTCACACCGTTGGCAATGCCTTCAGCATCGAGTCCATTCGTCATGCCACTTTGGTAGTCGCGAGTGATCTCGTCGAGCATACCAGCACTAGCAGCGACGAAACCCAAGTAGGGTCTGCTCGGGTCCAGGACGCGGGATAGGTATTCCGGGTGGAACTGGACACCAACGAACCAGGGATGGTCCTTGATCTCAATAACCTCCATACGTACACCAGCTTCATCTTTGCCGACAAAGCTCAGACCGCCCTTCTCGAGCGTCTCAATGTAGTCAGGGTTGACCTCATATCGGTGACGGTGGCGCTCTAGGATCTCCTCCTTGCCGGCGTACAAAGCGCGGAGACGAGACCACTCGCTGCCTGGTTGGAAGAGTGTGGGACGGAGACCGAGACGCATGGATGCGCCCATGGTGCTCTTATCTACCTCTGGCATGAACATGATGAGCTTGTTCTGCGCCTCGCCGTTGAATTCCTCGGAGGTTGCGTCCTTGATGCCGCAAACGTTACGAGCGTACTCAATAACGGCAATCTGCATGCCGAGGCAGATACCAAGATATGGCTTCTTGTGCTCACGCGCCCAGGTGGCCGCTGAAATCATACCTTCTGTGGCACGTTGACCGAAGCCACCCGGTACCAGGATACCTGATGCCTTGACGACCTCGTGCCAAGCGTTGTGGTACTTTGCAGGGTCTGTCTTCTGACACTTGGGCTCCAGATGGTCCGAGTCGACCCAGCGAATGTCCAGCTTCCTCTTGCACCGCATCGTAGCGTGTTCCAACGATTTGATGACTGACAGGTATGAGTCCTGGAGCTCCACGTACTTTCCGACAAGTGCGATCGTGACCGGGTCGTGGAAACGAGTGTCGTGGCCAGTGAGCGACTGCCATTGCGCCCAGGTATGGTTGCCCTTTTGCAGCATTGACGCCGAGACTGAAACTTGCTCGAGAGCAAGGAATTGGCGTACCATCGGAATCAGTCTTTGTTGTTCGAGAAGCATCGGTACTTGGTAGATGGATGGCATGTCACGGACAACAAGGACTTGTTCGTTCTCGACCTGGCAAAAGTGGGCGATCTTCTCGACAGCGGAGGCTTCAAGTTCGCGCTCGCAGCGGCAGGCAATCTAGTACTGTCAGTCATCCAAAGTAATTGCTAATGTGAAAGGCTCGACATACCAAATCTGGGATCAGACCATTACTCCTCACCGCCTTGATAGCCTGCTGCGTAGGCTTCGTCTTCTGCTCGCCGTGGATAACCGGGACATACGAGACGTGAATCTGCATGAAGTTGTTCTTGCCCGCACGCCTCCTCAGCTGGCTCATAGCCTCAATGAAGGGCATGCTCTCGATGTCGCCCACGGTTCCTCCCAGCTCAATTATGCAGACGTCCGGCTCCTCGCCTGAGTCATCGACGGGTATCCGCGAGACCTTCTCGATCCAATCTTGAATCGCATCGGTGATGTGTGGGACGACTTGTACGGTTTTACCCAGGTAGTCGCCCTTGCGCTCGCGCTCGATAACGTGCTGGTAGATCTTGCCAGTGGTGATGTTGTTGTCGCGGGTGAGGGTGATGTTGAGGTAGCG